TGTGTTAATTTATGTCTACACGTGCATACACACAGTTACATGTATGTTTCAATCATAAAATAATTGAGATCTTTATGCCCTTTTTGCAGCTCAGTGGAACAGAGTAGATATGATCAAAGGGAGATTTCTACGCTTCTCAAAGAAACAAAAATATTGAGACCTTTTAAGATTACTTTAAAAATTAATTTGCTAATAAAAATTACTCAAATATCCCTTAAACTTTGTAAATGTGCTTAAAAATAATAAAACTATACATGTAATAATCACAATTTTAATCTTATGGGTCTTCACTGAATTGTAGCAATCACTGGGGTTTTACTACACTTGTAATTAAAGCCATTTTTAGTTTCATTTTTAAGACTTGTTACATTTTTTCACTATTACTTTTAAAATAATTTCTTAGAGGAAACATATAACATTTTACAAAAGCAATTTGGAGTGTAACCTGAACTTTTTCTCATTCCAACTCCGACTGTTCATTGCTATGGAGGAAGTTAATGTAAATCATCAAAATGGTAAATAGCTAATAAGCTCAATTTCTACCGGGAATGAGGAAAATTCTCTTGCTCTTATAAAAGGGAAAAATTATACACATCTAGCAGGAATCATTGGGGTATCCATTACCCACATAGAGATTGGCCTAAATAGTGACTATAGACCATTCGTAAAGAAATATGAGACCCAAAAAGAAAAAACAGGAAGATGAGCAAGGACGAATTGTTAGTTGTATCAAACATCTACGAAATATATGAGAAGAAAACTCAACAACTAAACAAAGTAATCCAGGGACTTCGACTGCCATATTGCTTACAGAACAATGACTGTGCTTCTAAAATATCTAACATTTTCTAAGAACTCAAGAATAAAAAGTAAACGCCAGTTAGAGTCAGCAGTGGTTGATAATAGCTAAGGATTACTGATCACACACAGATATTGATTTATTTACACTTTGTACTACATAGTCATCTTTTAAGATGATATAATAATGTTACTATAAAGAGTTCTCCTTTTATCATTGGTTTTCAAAGGAAAGATATACTTCGAATATTAAAAAATCTTACCAACACTCCACACTTACCGGAACATAAGCTCCATGAAAAGAGGGACAATTTCTAACTTGTTCCCTTTTATATCTCCAGCGTATAACACATGACAGTGCTCGGTAAATGTTGGTAAAATGAGTGAGTGTCCATGAAATCATGAATACCAAAGTGCAGTTCATCTGAAGTTAAAATGATGGAAATAAACCTTCAGTGCTAAGAGTAGAGACACTAACATGTAAAGGAACAATGCAAATATCTCAGTCACCCAGGAAAAGTGCAAAAATGTATTGAGTCATCAGGATCTGTTTCTCCAGAGAACAGTCATAGCTCTTTATGCAACATTTAGTAACCGTTTACTGAAAGATGACTTACCTGACACTTGTGGAATCGTCATAGACTCTCTTTCCTTAAACTTTGACCTAACTCAGCCCTCTTTCAGGAGGATACACCTCAGCCTCCCACCCTACCTCCACGTACACAGATTTTAAGAGGCAAAGAGACTACCTGCTACCTTCACATTTTTCCTCCAAACCACATCTCCCCCACCTAGAAATAAAAACTCCAGTGATGAAGTTTACATTATCAAACTCTATCAATCCCTTCTAACTCCTGACTGTCCCTGATGTTTGTTGAGAATTTGGATATCCAGCCACCAGTTTTTCTTCTCTCCCTCTGTTCTTGAAAACACTGGGTATGACATCTGGGTCTTAAAATAGATGATAGATTTCATACCCTGGTATTGAATGCTTAATATACTTGATCTCCTCAACTACAAAGACTTTTCCCTCTAAACCCAACTTAGCCACCCCATTCCATGGCAACCATAGGTCTTTGTCTTTATTCTGAAATCTTTCATTTTAATTTTGCCTTCTGCTACCACAGACTCCTATTCTTCCATGTCCCGCCATGCTTAAAATTCTTCGCTATTTTGCCCTAGGTTTAAAAACCCAGCTTGAACTCTCCTCCTAGCTCATGGAGCCCTCTACAATCCATCCACTGGTATTCGTCTCACTTCCCATCTACCACACACAAACAGGATTTCATCTTTTCAGACATCCTGAAAGACTTGTGTTTCCAAAGGGGCTTCAAGCTTCAGTGTGGTACACCTTTTGCCCTACTTTTCCTCCTTTAACTTATTCCTGCTTGGTCCCCCAAAACTGGTCTTAAAAGTATGTATTCCTGTTAAAAGCCTTTCCATTCCCTGCCTGTCCAATCTAGTTTATTTGCTTTTCCTCCTGATTCCCAGAACATTCTTTGTGTAACTCTAGCACACACGACCTCAGGCAGGGAGCATGTTTTGCTCACACTTATAAATGCAACACCTAAAACAATGTTAGGAAGATGGCAGCTAGTTCAAGCCTTGAGGATGCTTTCCATAAAATATCGAGAACTGACACTGAGAAACTGGAAAATAGCAATAGTTCCAAGTTTAAATTTTTCCTACTCTAGCCTTATATTGGTCCGCTAATATCTTTAGGTATTACTATTCACCCCTAGATAGTGATTGGATTTTATTCTCTTATTAAAGATAAACACTGTATTGCGGCTACATGATGGTGATGGGCAACGTTTAAAAGTTGAATGGAGGATGAGCAAATGAGGCTAGGCTTTCCAGCTGAAAGACAGAGGGAAAATGGAAGAAAGTAAGTATTCCTATATACTTTAAAAGCCAACAAACAATTATTTCAGTTTCTGAAAGAGTGTTCTGCAAAATGTGAAGAGGCTCAGCACTTGGTTAAAATTTTAGTTAGCAACTAAATTATTTAAAACAAGAAATTTGAACTTGGTTCCATTTTCAAACAAGAAGCACATCAGCAAAATGAGTCTTCAGAATTATCATATAATAATATAAGAGAAAAAGAATTTATTAATCTTATCCAATCTACATGTTACTTACAATTATAAAAAAGATATTAAACACAAATATGGGTGATTACTGCCATGTAAGCACTGGCAGTTTAAAATAGAATTACATACAGCACTTAGAGTCTTCTGTGTATCCGAGTTCTCCTTTAAAATCACCACCAGTCCCCTGCTGGTCGAAAGATTAGAGTTGTAACTCAATCTGTGCCATTAATTGTGGAATCCTAGGTTAGTCGACTAACCTCTCTGGGTCTCAGTTTCCTCTCTTGTAAAATGAGAAGAGATTAGATGAGTGGCTTTTCAAACATTTTGATAAGGGACAGAACACGCTTCTTTTTCCCAAAGGAAATCTTACTGGGAATCCTAACAGGGAAAATCTAAAACATAACAGCTCCAGGAAAGGCAAGATGAAGATTCAGCCTCCCCCCTTCCCACTGCAAGCACATCACAGAGCTCTGGGACAGAGTTGGAAAATTAGAAGCACAGGGTGACCTTTGGGGTCTTTTCCAACAATTTTGGCAGGTCCTTGGGTGGTCTGGTGAGTAATGATGATACCAGGGCAGGTTTGCTAAGCTGAGCACCCAACTTTGCCCAAGTAGAAAACAATACATTTTTTCTAGTTCTATCTCAAAAAGTGTAATGGGAGATTTGTCCTGAAGTGGCCTTGGAAGAATCTGTCCCCACCTCTCTGATTATGATAGTGACTCTTTGAATGGCATTCCTCACAGCCTACTTGCTTTTCATCTCCATTTATTCAACTCCAAAATCTCCCCCCATCAGCTCTGTCCCCTGAGCCCACTTGGCCTCATCCTCCTCCACCTTGTGGCTCTCAACACCTGCAGCTTGGCCCTTGACCCTCTCCGAGCCACCACAGCAGGAGGCCCTGATTCAGGAAACCTCAGGTAGATGAAACAGACAAATCATTAGAAAGGTATAGAAACCTTGAGCCATACAGTTAAGAATTTGATCTAATATCCATACAACCCTTACCAACCATTGCTGTCTTCTAGAACAAATGTAACATTTGCAAATAGTGATCAGAATAGGATACGTGCAATGTCCAAGATCATACAGATAAATAGAATTGCACAGGCCCTAGTCTCTAACCAAAATATATACAATTACTAACCATTAACAAAGAGGTAATCACTCCTCCAACACGTGGATGTTCAAAACACACTAAGGGGGCCGGCCCTGTGGCTTGGTGGTTAAGTGCGCGCGCTGCGATGCTGGTGGCCCGGGTTCGGATCCCGGGTGCGCATCGAGGCACCGCTTCTCCGTTCATCCTGAGGCCGAGTCCCGCATGCAGCGGCTGGAGGGATGTGCAGCTGCGACATGCAGCTATCCGCTGGGGCTTTGGGGGGAAAAAATAAAAAAATAAAATAAAATCTTTAAAAAAAAAAAAAAAAACACACAGGCATAATTCATGTGTTAATAGGAAAACCATTACCTCTGTCTCTTTGTCTCTCTGGCTGTCTGACAGTCTCTCTTTCCCTCTCTCTCTTTATCACTATGTCTCTGCCTTTGTCTCTCTCTCTGTCTCTGTATCTGTCTCCTTACTTTCTCTATCTGTCCGTTTGTATCTCTCCCTGTCCTTCTGACTCGGTCTGTCTTTCTGTCCTTCTAATGTATTTAATAGGCATCTATTTGTTGGTATATGTTCCTGTAAAATTCGTATTATTTTGTGAGTATGTCACAAAGTGACTAATAAGGTAGTTACCAGTTTAAAAAAAAAAGAAGAAGAAGAAAAGAGAAGAATCCCCGCCCATACACCCCCACCCTCACTCCCACCACCGAGTTCTCGTCACTGGGACCCTCAGATTCCTCAAGGACAGTAGGAGGAATTCTACAACCAATGACTTTGTGGGCCTCTATGACCTGAAAATCTCTAAATCTCCATGTCTGTCTTGCTCAATTAAAATAACCCAGGGCTGTGCTTTTCCTCTCACCCACCCACATTCAAAGATCCAGTGCACATGATACTTAATTTTCTGCATTCTCAATTCCTAAGGCAAAGTGAGAAAATGCTTTCAAAACTAGTGCAAAATTTGGCTCCTTTTAACTCTTTGGGGAAAAGGAGAGAGAAAATCTCACTTGGCTATTTCTACAACTTATTTCATAATTTGCAAAGGAATTCCCACAAAACTATTGCAATTAAAAAAATCTATTAGCCCACAAAATGTCCACACATTCTTCAGCACCCACAGCCCAGTTGGTGCCTCACAGATCACCTATTATTCTCCTGATTCACTTGTAAAACCCTCGCACACACAAGTTAACAAATGTCAGAGAGCAAACACAGAGCTCCCTCCAAGCTCAAGAAATTATAATTCTCGTGACTTTATCTGTCCGCTGTATAAATGTTTACCTGTCCCTTCAATGTTTTGGGCATCCCAGACATGGGCCTTAGAAGCCTGTATTTTAAAAGTGAGCAGACAAATAATGCATGCCAAGGGTCTGCTAGCTGATCTCCATCCAGCCCCATTGCAATGGCCTGTTCCACTCCAACTTTCCCTTCTGCCTCCTTCAAAACCATCTTCTGGGGCTCAGCAATCTCTGCTTCCAAGGGGACCAGAGATGAGAGGACTTTGACCTCAAGATCCTGGACTTCCTGTTCTAATGATATTTTGTTGCTATGCATGTAGTTAGTAAACAACAGGTAGGGAGGCATTGGTTCTGCTTGCTGGGATGACGAAATAACAGCCTCGTAGTCGCTAATTTCCCCTTGCTAAAGTGCTAGCTCACAGCAGGATTCATGCGGTGCCCCATGGGGGTGGAGAAAGAGACTGCTAGTCAATAATACATGAGCAGAGAAAGCCCTAGAAATGTGTGCTTAAAGCCAAATTGAAATGAGGGTGGGGAGGGAGTGGGATGCATCACATGGTGAGGTGTATCAGATAAAAGAGCTTTCTCGGAACCCGCATTCTGTAAGAGTTTTCATTACGCAAACTGACTTTTCTCCTACTCGCACGTCCACCTTCTGGGTATGTTTCATACTTAGAAATCCTGAAACAGGAAGAGTAGCAAATACGGTCCTTTCCGTACAAAGGCAAGAGAGGGGGAAGAACAAAATGAAACAGGAGAGCATTGATCAAGTGTGTGTGAGTGTGTGTTTCAGGCCATCTTTATTTTTATTCCTTTCATTCTTCAGCATGGATGTCTCACAAATTGCCCCCATTGCACTGGTAATAATTTCAATGCAATGATGTTTTTTCTTTGAAAGTTAATTTCCCATCTTTTTATCCCAATGATAAGGTACAAGATAATTTCCACATCACTTTTCCAACATTTCAAGGAATCAATGGTTCTATATAACACGTTCACAGATACCTAAATTTAATGCTTTCACTCAAACTTTTCTTTTAAATTAAACACTTCATTTATTATAAACTTCTTTTCCTTCTTTAGTAACATACACAGCGTAATTCAAACTTTTCCTGATAGCTGAAAATCATAATTACAAGCAACTATGTTATCATGTAATATAATCAGCTCCTGATGAGCCAAGACACACAGGATGCTGAGTTTCTACACAGCAAAGTGGTTCAGGTTTTCTTCCACCCAGAGCTGGCAACAGCCCTTCTCCGCCATCATGGTCTGCCATTCACTGAGAGCCTGGGTCAACCATTACCTCTGTGGGCTAGTCACCACTCCCGTACCTTTCCACCAGGCTATGCTTCCCTTATTTTATTTTATTTTGTACTGCTTTATTTTCTTCTACTTCTCTTCTTTCCTCTAAGCTTCCTTCCCTGCCCTTCTCCTGTTCTTTCAGCTCTCAGGCTGGCTCCAGCGGAAGAGTGTGCTGTTTGATTCTGCTCAGATAAGTGACAATTTCACTACATTGAGACACTTAGGTCTCCGGCTCTTTTTTTTTTATTTATCCTAGCTCATTTTGCTGTTGGAAATGTTTTCTTCTCCTCCCTCGACACCTCACAATTTAAGGTTTGGTGCCACTCTGAGAATGGCAGATTGCCCCGAAACTGCCCTCCAGATGACCAGACTCTGCAGTAATTTCCAGGTAGGAGATAAGGCATTGACAACTGGAGAAATCAGAGCAGGAGATTCTTTCCTTTAAAATATACTAACTACAAAATGAGTTGGAAGAGGCATATTTGGAGATGAGTTAGAATTTTTGCTCCAAAAATGAAAAGCCTAATATGAAATATAAGAAGTGAATTCATCAGAATATATGTTACCCAAACCTGAAAGCTGCATCTCATCTCCTAGCTGGTAACCCTTGACTAACCAGTGATGTTCACAAAGTATATTCTCCAACGGTTTCTCACGTCGGAACCAGGCCATGTTCACCCTCCATAGTTGGGAGCAACATCTTACCCATCCTTGTATTTCTTCCTTTAAAGGAAGAAAAGCTGAGGTCTGTGGCAGCCTGTTTCACCCTCCCCAAAGCTCAAGCTACCAAAATTGTAGTTGACAACAGTTTGTTAAAAATAGACAAAAGTATCAAGTCTTCATTTGCCTATTCAAATGCCCAAGCTACCTTCCTAGGGAAATGTTAGTTTCAATTACACTTGAATTAAACTTTAGAGTAGGGGAGGGGTAGGTGCATCTATGAGTTGTTCATTCATTTCCACATTTCAGTTCCGTTAAATGCTTAATAGACATAATGATACTTAGTCGGTCCTGTTTCCCTAGATTATCACCAGGCATGCCTGAGAAATAAGTTGAACTATTCTGGAGCAGTAGTATTATGTGATAGTACCTTTCAAGGAGTTAATTTTCAAATTCCTTTAATGAGTGTAATCACCCACCACCTCTTTTCTCCACTCCCAGTCCATCACTTAAGTAATTAGTTCTTTCATAGAAAGTGAATATATTCTGAGTTGAGAGAATGAGTTGAGAAACATTTGTCATAGCCTGCTAGGTGCCAGGCACAGCTGCATGGAGCTATTCACATCCTCACCCTGCTGGGGCCGCAGGTGGTCGGTGGAGCCCTGGTTAATGCAGTCCTGGTTGACTGGGGGAATAGCTCGGGTTTCATTCAGATGGAAAATGCACAAACCTTTTCAACTCAACTGCTAAATGAACAACTACATTTCATTCCACCCTGGAAAGTAATACTGCTTTATCAGGAAAAACAATGCAGCTCACCTCACCTATGACCAAATCAGGCAAAGCTGAATGCTTCAACCATTGGTTCAACCACTATGAAGTGGTAGGAATTTGAATACCAAAGCCAGCATTGGTTTATCAACACAATAGTTTCAGTAGGTAGAAAGCTGTCAAGCGTGGAAGGAGACTTTGGAAGGCAAAGACCGTATATGCGGTCAGAAATAATACAAATTTCAATATGATCCACCCATGGAAAAATCATAAATGAACAGTTAGTACAAGTGTCTAGTTGTGAAGGGCTTATAGTAAATGAGAAGTTGCAGGTTCCTTCTGGGGTCTATGACCAAGATGAAGCTATATAACTAATAAAGATTTGAGCCACAAAAGCTAAGTTGCTCAGTCCAACTTTGGTTATTTACTGTATTAGTTGGCTAGGATTGATGTAATAAAGTATGAAAAACTGGGTGGCTAAAACAATGGAAATTTATTATCTCACAGTTCTGGAGGCTAGAATTCCAAGATCAAGGTGTTGGCATGCTTGGTTCCTTCTGGGCTCTGTGAGAAAGAATCTGTTGCATACCTTTCACTCAACTTCTGGTGTTTGCTGGCAGTCTTTGGTGGTGTTGGCTTGTAGAAGCATTGTTTCAATCTCTGCCTTAATCTTCACATAGTGTTCTGTATGTGCACCTCTGTGATCAAATTGCCCCTTTTTATAAGGACACCAGTCATATAGAATTAAGGCCCACCCTAATGGCCTCATCTCACTAAATACATCTGCAAAGACTCTATTTCCAAATAAGGTAACATTCTGGAGTACTGGGGTGAGGGTTTCAACATACGAATTTTGGAGGGACATAATTCAACCCCTAACATCACTCTAGGGATGTATGCTAAGGTCCATGAGAGGAGGCAATGATGCGAATCATGATAGAAACCTATTTGTCAGCTGGCCACTGAGGGAAGACACAGTTGAAACCAAGACATATAATTGTATAGCTATGCGGTGTTTGGCGTACTCTAACTTTGATTTAAAATCAATGAGTTTCTTGTATTCTATATTTAGAATTCAGCTTCACTTCATCTGAAGATGAAAATCCATTCAAAAGAATTTTTAAATCTCCACTTACTTCTGTCAGAGTCCTGCATAGGTCAATATGGTTGGGTGTTTTAGACAAAAGATTCAAGAGTGTCAACATGGCATTGGACACGTGCTCTTTACTCAGAACAGAGACAATAAGAAAAAGCTTGTACCAAAGCCTTTGTGTACAGTATTTCCTTTCTTCACACACACAGAATACAAGTCCACTGTGAGTAAAGTCTTTAGATTAAAAACACTATCAAAATATGATTTTGAATTCCAAATAATATATGTAGATACATCCTCCTCCAGGTGGTGGATCTTAATCCCTCCACTCCATGGAGTGTGGGCTGGACTTAGTGACTCACTTCCAAAGAAAGGAGAAAATAGTAACTTTACAGTATAGACGCCTGGTAAGCATGATCTTAACCAAGTGATCAAGTTAACACCACCCACGATGTCACGTAGACATCACGTAACCTCTGCTACTTTGTGATGCAAAGGGCATTTCCCCTCTGTGGTTTTCTGCCCCCAAACCCCTAACTCAGTCTGATCAGGAGAAAAACATCAGACAAACCGAAATTGAGGAACATTCTATAAAATATCTGACCAATACTCTCAAAACTGTCAAGATAACGAAAAACAAGAAAAGGGAAACTATCACAGAACAGAGGAGCCCAAGGAGACATGACAACTAAATGCAACGTGGTAACCCAGATGAGAACCTGGAACAGAAATAGGATATTTGGGGAAAACTGAGGAAATCTAAATACAGTCTGGAGTTTAATCAATAGGAACATAGCAACGTTGGTTACTTAGTTTTGACAAATGTACCACAGTAACTTAAGATAATAATATGAGGGGAAACTGAAGCCAAGGGAGGAGTATATAGGACTCTATACTACCTTGGTAACTTTTCTGCAAACCTAAAATTATTCCAAGATAAAAAGTTTATTATGAAAATATATATGTATAGATATATGTCATTATGAACAGACCATCAAGTCTTATTTCCCACAATATTCCTGAAGCCTAAATATAAAACCACATTTAAAATCCTGTATATAATACAGAGTCTAAAGTATAATACTTCAAATCTGAACAAAAAGTAACAAAATGCTGCTATGTGTTTACTTTAAGACTTACAAGTTTTCCTGTGTT